CAATAAAAGTCTTAAAACATTATTTTACACAATATCTGATTATTTGATAATTTTTTGAAAATGTGAATTTTTAAAAAATATGATTTTCTGCCTAACATTATAAAAAATTATGCAATTATGACACATGCTCAATTACTCTTTAATTGTTATAATGTGATGATATATGTACATATGTGATTAAATTATATCTACTGTGAGCTATAAGGGACCATAATCCTATAAGATTGTCTGTGTTAGGGAATATTTTGGTGCTTTTAAGGCATATTTTGGTGGTTATAAGTCATATTTTAGTGCCTATAAGCATGTTCTGGTACTATAAGCACAAAATGGAGTCATAAGGGGTCAGAATCTTTTGAGATTCTGTCTGGATTCGGGAAATGTGATATGAATTGCTCTATGATATACATTGCAATTTATTTATTTGCTCAGTATTGTTATTTAAATAATTGGATAACTACTATGCTCTTATTATATTTTTTAGTATAGTGATTTATTTAAACTGCATTTAACTACTTTTAAATATTCAGGAAAATATTTAATACAAGAATTTAAAAATTTTGATTGGTTTGTGTGGCATGTTGAGTTGTTATAGTTCACTGTGGTTTTGTTTCTGGTTTTCAGGCTTTGGGAAAGAGAAGGAGATTTTGGATTAACAATTCATGATCAGATATGTGTTTATAGGTATATCTCTATTTTGATTTTTGTATAGTCATAGTTAGTTTATTATTCAATTCTATAGCTCAGCATGTAGTCATGTATTATAGTGCAGATATATATTTTGATGAAATGAAAGAAATCTGGTTAATGAGTTTATTTTAAATATTTGGATGTTTTAGTAGTTATGTAGTCTGCAGTTTTTTTTTAAAATAAAAATTGAAAGAGAATCTGAAATACTCTAAAACTAGATCTTGGGATTTGTCTATCACACCTCAATGATAGGACCTATCCTGGTCGGGTTGGGTTGTGACATCCGTCGCCCGCCGACTGTGGTCCTTTCGACCTTCGTCGCCCGCCAACTACGTTCACTCCGTCCACTGTCGCCTTCTAACTACGGTCCCTTCGGCCACCGTCGCCTGCTTACTATAATCCCTTCCTTCGACCACAGTTTTTTTGACCTCCTTCGCCCGCCAACTACGGTCCTTCCGACCTATGTCGCCCGCCGACTACGATCTCTCTGACCATGTCGCCCGCTGACTAAGGTCCTTACAATCTTCGTCGCTCGCCGACTATGGTCACTCGACCAACCTTGTTCGTTGACTACAGTCCCTCCAAACTCATTCGCTCGTCGACTTCAGTCCCTCCAATCAAAGTTGCCCGTCGATTACGGTCTCCGCGATCATCATCGCCCATCGACTACAATCCCACTTGTCTCAGTCGCCCGACTATGACATCTTCGACGTCTGTTCATTTGATTCTACTGACCAAACAAACAAGCTAACATTCTCTTTAAACCGACTCCCATTTCACTTGATTCTTTCTACTCACTCTATATTATGCGCTTTATATGATGTATATTTACTATATTGAGTTAATGCTTTCCCTCTAGGAAGGGCAACATTTTTAATCGACTGCAAACACTAGTAGAACCATTTTAATTGAGTCAGCATTTTTTCCTCTTTTCAGGGTTTTCTACGTAAAATTATTAGTGTCTCTTATGACTCTTACACCTCTCTCTCTTTCTCTAATCTGTGTGTGATGGATTTTCGTACAAATTTAGACGTTAAACTTTATATCTCTCTATTGCCGCGAATGTTTCAGGACGCAACAATGATCATTAAATAAAATCTAAAGAAGTATGTGTGTGAATGACTAAATAAGAAGTGCAGGACTGCCTGCATACAGATTCTTCAAGAATTTACTTCAAACATCAAGGTTAATAACCATAATAAGGAGGGGTATGTTACATCCTACAATAAATAAAAGTTACCTCGAGTTGTGACACTCAACACTTCGCTTCATCTAGTTCCAATGTATTGGTTCTAAATAATAAGAGCCCTAAATTCATATTTGAGACTATACTAGTTAATCAAACACATGACATATGGCCTAACTTAACCAAAATTTTATTATATTAGAAGCCTTATATAAAGCATAAATGGTTAATATTTAACTAAATCCGTGCAACCCTGTCCGTATTAATTTCCTAAGTTATGCTAGGTTGATTATTATTACTATGAAAGTTTAACGTGCCTATGCCAACATGAGAAGGTACAATTACTTCTGTAACAAGAGATCAAGAAGGAGAACAAAATGAAATCTTCGCCAAGGATAGCAAGAGAAATAAATTGATTATAATGATGTTGAGAAAAAAGGTTAAAGAAAGTGGTGTTGAGAGTTATCCCCTCTAGCAGCTATGGAGGAAGGAATCAAGGCGAAGTGTGATGCCTGATGGGGCTTTCTCTTAAACGTGATTTTGATTGAGTCTGCGTAAGAGGTTTACAAGAATGGGATGCATGAAGGGATTCAAGTGATTGGGGTGGGGCTCAGATCACATGAACATGGGCGTCGCCAATCAAGGATTGGTGGTTCTGGTTAATAGAACTATAACTATCTGATGATGAGTCAGTTATATTTCCAATGTGCTAGGATTAGTCCAAGTTTAGTTTAGGTTACTCCACAAGATACACAACAATGTAAATGCCTATATACAGGCATTGTATGCGATGTATTAATTTGAGAAAAATTTTAATAAAGCTTTAGGATAGATTTTTCTCCGCCAAATTATCTGTCTCTCCTCCCTCCCTCTCTTTCTCTCTCTCTTGCAAGAAGAGCTCAAGAAGCTCTCAAGAACTCCTAATTTCCTAACAAATAGTATTAGAGCCTGGTGGAGGCAATTGACAAGGAGGAAGGTGTTTTTGATAAAGAAAGAGAGGAGTCGTTGCCATTGACACACCCGGAGCAAGAATCGGCGAGGGCTGCGGGCGTGGAAGATTCGGATACGACCCATGCGTGGAAGCATGATAATACCGGGCACGGAGGCTTTCGGGCTATCTGGCCAGAATTGAGTGCGGTTGGAAGTTTACCGTAGGAAGTGCACAAGAAGCTTGAGCGAGCATTACGAGCCTAAGCGAGAGGCAAAGCGGCACGACACGAGAGCCGAAGTGGGCTTGTGCGGGAGCGCTTGTTTCTTGGGAGCACTAATTTCTAAAGTTGATAGAGGTTTAAGAATCGGATAATTGGAATTCCTTTTTTCGGAAATCCTAGTTTTCTTGGAAGGAGTTTACATGGCTTTAGATGATATTATCAAAATGTCCAAAAAGGCTTCCTTTAAAGGCAAACGAGTTTCTAGGATTTCTAATAAAAGCTAGAGATTCATGAATGATCGTGGAATACCACGTAACTCCAAGGTCCAGAGGTTTATGAATTCTAAATCTTCCATAAGACAAAGTGTGCTTTCCCAGAGAAGGAAGGCGGGTTGGTTTGCACTATTCAATCGTCGCCATAATTAAGTCAGAGGCGTGTTGTACGCCTGTGAGAGGTGGACTGGAGGCCAAAGTTTTAAGATTATGTTATTCTTAAATGATATGATTAGATCTTTTCTGGTGGAGCTTCAGGATCATTTGGTTGTTGTATGTTGGAGCAGTGGATCAAGAAAGGCAAAATCAAAAACCTCAGGGTCATAGGTTAGTCACGGACTCAGAACCAAACAGGTGTAGTGCGAGGTCGCAGGTTGGATCGCGCACGAGTCTTCGAGGAGGTGGTGAGGTCGTCGATTGCTGGTGAGGAGGAAGAGGATAAATGGGCTGCTATGGGAATGATGGTGTAGGAGGTAAGGAAAGTGCTTAAGACGTCGCAGATGGAGGTGGTGAGGTCGAGATTGAGGGCGATTCCGAAGAGTTGTGTCTACATTGGAGTTATCTGTTGCTAGGTTGATTGTGATAAAGGACGAGGGATAGGTTAATTGGACCTAATCCGACTATTAGTCCAATCAATACTGATGGAGCACTAACGGTTGAAATGAGGAAGATTAACTATGGATAAAGAAGATGATTCTCGGTTAAGAAAGAAGATTGGTTTAGATCTTTGAAGTGGAGTCGGCCTGTTCTTGAGGAGCATCGTCGGGAGTGAAAGTGCAGAACAACGTTGACGTGCGGTATATAAGGAGATCACACGGGAGCACGAAGGACACGCAGGTGAATGCGCGGGGCAGGGGATTGAGACGAGTAGGGCGCGGGTGAAGGCGCAGGTGAAGGTGCGCAGGTGGACACGCGTAGGGTGTGGTCGGAGTCAGACCATATGAGTGCAAGACGCTAGCACGGGGCTTGAGGTTCAGGGTGCAGGTAGACGCACAGGGCGCGAAAGCGAGACGCACGAGGTGCGTGTTGTTAACTGTCCGGTGGACTCTATTGGCAGGGAAGACTGGCGGGGCTATTCTTTGTGAATAGCATATATATATATATATATATTGTAAATCTAGGACCAAGGTGGAAATTGTTGGATATTGGTCTTAGATTTAGGATTGTACTTTCTTTAGTTTTCTTGAATGGCTTGTATTATCATTAGTGTAACATTTTAAGCCTATATATAGAGGCTATAGGCTGTATTATAAATGGTTAAGAAATAAAGTTTGAGTTTGCTGCTTTCCCTCTCCCCTTCCCTCTTTCCCTCCTCTCCCAAAAAGCTCAAGAAGGAAGTGCTTTTTCCTTTCTTTGAAGATCCTAACACAATGGTTTTCATTTTCTCCATGTTTGTTGATCTTATCACAAGGAAGCTATAAGTTTCAAATAAACTTCGTAATTTAAACGGGATATTTACATGTGCCGATTTCTTGATTATGCAAATCATTAATGCATCATAGAAGCATTCATGGTGCTTTCCCCACCTAATCATTAAAACCAGATAATTGCTCTTAGACACAATATTTAGTTGAAAGATTCTTTGAAGCTACGTTATGTTGTTTTGTCTACAATTTCTTTAGTTTACGTATTGTAGTGTTATCAAATTCATTAACTAACTTTGTGAAAGAGAATCATTATTATTTTTCCCTTGGATGTTTATAGTTGGAGAATGGGACTGGAGGCATGTCACCTGGACATCCTCATGACATAGAAATTCCTCCCCCAAGGCCTAAACGAAAACCATGTAGTTCATATCCTCGGAAGACCGGTGCAGCCTCACAAAGTCCATTTGTGGAAGTAAAAGAGAAAAATTTGTCACAGGCTTTTGTTTCGCTAGGAACTGATGAAGTGGCAATGGATACTAAGATTAAGGTGAAAATGTCAAACTACTTCAAGTCATGTAGTTTGTAAAGTTCTACTTATTTTCTTTCTTAAAAATGTCATGCATGACTCCAGTCTTATCAGGAACCAGTGAAAGTTGCAATTGAACAAAATACAAAGCAGGCATTTGGAGAAGGCACTTCATCCGCTTCTATCTATTTTCATCTTAATAGCACTTCAGAACCTTTAGAACAGATGCCAACATTGGAAGAGTTGAAAGAAACTAGAAGTAGAATAACAAAAGAACTGAGAAAAAATGATTCTGATTTACAAATTTTTGGAATGAGTACAGATTCTCGGTTTGGTTTCACTACTGAAGAGAAATGGCAAGTACTAGGCCATATGGAGATGCCATTTACATCATGGAAGGACAATCTACAAGGTGGTGAAAACCATGAAAATATTCCTGCTCAATTTGAAGGTACAAAATATTCTGATGAAGATATCTCAAAATCAGTGTCAACTCAACTAGAAGCAAATGCAGATCTTAACCTGTCACTTGATTCTACAAGAACAACAATACATCGGACAAAAAACTCAATTTCATCCATCCATCAGGCGGTTCCATCCATCTCACTTCATAACCCGTTCAGTAATGATGACAATCCATTTAGTGCACTTATAAACTTAACCAACTACTTTCCAAGTCTCCTTGTATCTGCCTTGTCACAAAATCCAGCAGTTCATCAAGCAGCTAGCATTGCAGCTGCTTCACTGCCACCTGCCTATGTGGATTTTTCTATGCAATCAAATAGCAAGTTAGTTGGCGAAGCTCCAGAGAAACAATCTAGCGCATCTTCTGGCATATCGGCTATTGTAACAGCCACAATTGCCGCTGCAGCTGCTTGGTGGAGGGTTCATGGGCTATTGCAATCTCCTTCTCAGCCAAACCACGCATTTACCCAAGTAATGGTGCAAGCCACAGAGTCGGCCCAAGTTCCTGAAGATAACAGTGACTCTAAAGGAAATTTTAGCCAAACTCATAAGCGGAAATTTCAACAAATCGAACAGCAGGAGACAAACATAGCGATACAACCTTCCTCTGCATTATTAGAGATCTCTTCATCACCAGATACCTGCCAAAGCACAAAATCTGCAAGGTCTCCAAAATCTACCAAGTGCGCAGAAACAGCAATTTGTGGAATCCATGATGTTGATCATGTTCCAGGCAAAAAGAAACATGATCCGTCCTCCTGTGATTCTAACACATCGCCCAGCAGTGAAGTAGAGAAAGATGCAGCTTTGAACAAGGAAGAAGCCAAAGGAATCAATGAACAAGGTGAACAAGGCCCGTCCATTATTCAGGAGTTTGGGGATACTCCGGGGATTAGCAAATCTAGTACTGAAGGTCTCAAACAGGTTGTCATCTAATAAAACTAAAATTGTGATTCAGTACATGCTTGCAAGTGATTTGTGCTCTATTTTAATTTATTCTACACAATTGTCAGGACTCGATTGCTTTTGAAGAGCTATTTTATCGGCAGTTGCTGCCGCACTGTTTCTCCCCACTGCATTTGGATGGCAACTGGACCACAAATTCAGGAAATGAGGAAGCTCCTGGACTGCAGATCGACCTCAACAGGAAGGTATTCACTCCATCATCTACTTGCAACTTTTCCAGGGAAAATGCACGAAGTAGCATCAACAATGGATCAGAAGTTGCAACATTCAACAGGCACTTGGTGGAAACCGAGGAGAGGAATAACACAGGCCAAGAGGAAAGCAGTGGAAAGAGAGCTTGTCTATGAGGAAAAAGCTGTCTGGTTAGCATAGTTTCATATTGGCATTTGGAATTGGAATAAAACTTTAAAGCTTAATAAATCATGAAACCCCGCATGGTGATAGACTTGATCCTTTGATTCTTTTCTATTATTGGTAAGATAACTTTGTAGTAGTTGTTTGGGGTGGTGCCTTAAGAGAACCTTCCTGCAAATGAAATAAATATGTAGAAGCTGATCATACTTCTATAAACTAATTGATTGAGCTGATTTCAATCACAGCAGTTTGAGTTTATTAGATGTTTATGCTCTAATATTACGCATCATTTAGATTAATATAGCACAAACCACCACAAAAGCATGCCCACACTTGTTATTGCCTTTAAGGGTTCGTTTAGCTAAATGAACGTCTGGATAATTTACGCATCTGACGTCTTGTATTAGCAACTGAGGTTTTGTTTGTGATGACTTTTTTTTTTGTTTTTTAAAACAATTTTTTAGTTAAAAAAGTAAATTTTTTGTTATTATTGTACTAAATTGTTTTAGGAAGCAGTAGAAAAGTCATTCCAAACGAAACCTGAATGATTAAAATCCCGGCTGATATGCTTAAGTTCATGAACCTTTCGATTTTTGAACATAGGGTAGAAGAATGGGTAATCTCCTTTCTTGTATTACAATATTGTTTGTTTATAGAACCGTCATTATGTTATTTCCTTTCATTAAATTCTAACACAAGCATTGAAATTCAACCAAGTTTAAGCCCCGGAAACACACCGTAAGTTTTTTTTTTTTTGTTAGAGGTTAGATTTGTAAACATAACTTATTTGGATGATTTGTAAATATGACTGAGCGCCGCCGCCATCGAGACCAGTCCGTTGCTGACGTTCGCCGCCGACCTTTCCCACTTTCGCGCCGTCCTTGTCGAAGTTCGCCGCCTCTACTGACGTTTGCCGCTTGATTTGCCGGAAACACACCGTAAGTTTTTCCTTTTGTCATAGATGTTCTTGGTAGACATTTGCAAGAGATTGTAGCATGGTGTATGTATTTTGTTGATGATATTATTCTTGTTGATAAGTCTAGAGAGGGAGTTGATGTGTATATTTTTAGTTGAGATTAGAATGCTCTTATGGAATGAGATTACAGAGAGCGAGAGTGAGAGATGTGTATATTATTAGTTGATATTAGAATACTGGAGATTAGAATGCTCTTACGGGATTTACTCTCAGAGATAAGATATGAAATAAGCATATTAGTGAAAATGTTGGAGAAGCTCTTATGGAAGATAATATTATAGAAAGGGAGAGATTTGCCTTAGATGGTTTGCAGAGATTAGAATGCTCATGAGTGGCTAACTTTACTCATAGGGACAAGATACGAAATGAGCATATACATGAAAATGTGGGAGAAGCTCTTATGGAAGATAAGATCAGAGAGAGCAAGAGATCTGCCATAAATGGTATTATCATGCAAACTACATTTTCACACGTCAAGAAAATCGATAAATTCGCTGGAAATATCTCCAGCGCAAACTACGTTTTTACACAGAACCCCATTGAAGACTTATAATCTGCCAGTTTCATCCATCGATAATAGTCCGCTGGAATAGGGCGGCGGATTATTTGCCGGTGATTCCGACGCAAAATTTCCACCGGAAATATCGGCGGATAAAAAGTCAGAATTCACTTGAAGAAAACGACGTGCAACCTTCATTTTTTTTTTGCCAAAAAATATGCCAGAAATGTTTATTACATTTCACCGGTAAAGCTTTCCGGCTTGCGAATTACCACCGTTACCGCCGTATGGATATATGTCGGAAATTCGCTGGAAAATCAAAATTACTGACAGTTTTCCCTTGTTACTGATGGATTTTGTCTGCCTGTAACAAGCCTTTTTTTCTGTAGTGTAACATGTATTGCTTTTTTCTATCATTTCAGAATAACTCCCTTGGGGGGTCATCTATCATATGTGTAATTCAACACAATCACGTTTAACTTTAAAGTTTTCAATAAAAAATTAATAAGTATGCCAAATAAGCCGCAATGCTTAAGAGTCCAACATAAAGCTTCATTGTGAGCCTATTCCGGCGAATTTCAGGAAATGAGGAAGCTCCTGGACTGCAGATCGACCTCAACAGGAAGGTATTCACTCCATCATCTACTTGCAACATTTCCAGGGAAAATGCACAAAGTAGCACCAACAATGGATCAGAAGTTGCAACATTCAACAGGCACTTGGTGGAAACCGAGGAGAGGAAAGCAGTGGAAAGAGAGCTTGTCTATGAGTAGAATCTTTAAAGTGCAGAAAATCTGCCTGGTTAGCATAGTTTCATATTGGCATTTTGGATTGGAATTGAATTTTAAAGCTTAATAAATCATGAAACCCCGCAAGGTGATAGACTTGATCCCTTTGATTCTTTTCTATTATTGGTAAGATAACTTTGTAGTAGTTGTTTGGGGTGGTGCCTTAAGAGAACCTTCCTGCAAATGAAATAAATATGTAGAAGCTGAGCATACTTCTATAAACTAATTGATTGAGTTGATTTCAATCACAGCAGTTTGAGTTTATTAGATGTTTATGCTCTAATATTACGCATCATTTAGATTACTATAGCTCAAACCACCACAAAAGCAACAAGTCCACACTTGTTATTGCCTTTAAGGATTCGTTTAGCTAAAGGAACATCTGCATGATTTACGCATCTGACGTCTCGTATTAGCAACTGAGTTTTCATTTGTGATGGCTTTTTATGTTTCTTAAAACAACTTTTTAATACAAAAAATAAAATTTTTGTTATTTTTGTACTAAATTGTTTTTGGAAGTAGTAGAAAAGATATCCAAAACAAAACCTGAATGATTAAAATCCCGGCTGATATGCTTAAGTTCATAAACCTTTCTATTTTTGAACATAGGGTAGAAGAATGGATAATCTCCTTTCTTCTATTATAATGTGGTCTGTTTATAGAACCTTCATCATCTTATTTCCATTCATTAAATTCTTACACAAGCATTGAAATTCAACCAAGTTTAAGCCATAGTTTTTTTTTTTTTTGCATTTGGCAAAATCCCAACGGTTTGAATGTGGCATGTTGAAAATGTTTAGTTTGCAAGTTTATTTGTTAGAGGTTAGATTTGTAAATATAACTGATTTGGATGATTTGTAAATATGACCAAGTGCCGCCGCCATTGAGACCAGTCTGTTGTTGATGTTCGCCACCGACCTTGCCCACTTTCGCCGCCGTCTTTGTCAAAGTTCGCCGCCTCTGTTGCTGACGTTCGCCGCCTGATTTGTCGGAAATATGCCGTAAATTTTTCCTTTTGTTATAGATGTTCTCGGTAGACATTTTGCAAGAGATTGTAGCATGGTATATGCATTTTGTTGATAATATTATTCTTGTTGATAAGTTTAGAGAGGGAGTTGATGTGTATATTTTTAGTTGAGATTAGAATGCTCATATGGAGTGAGATTACATAGAGTGAGAGTGAGAAATGTGTATATTATTAGTTGAGATTAGAATGCTGGAGATTAGAATGTTTTTACGGAATTTACTCTTAAAGATAAGATATGAAATAAGTATATACGTGAAAATGTTTGAGAAGCTCTTATGGAAGATAATATTATAGAAAGCGATAGATTTGTCTTAGATGGTTTGCAGAGATTAGAATGTTCACAAGTGGCTAACTTTGCTCTTAAGGATAAGATGCGAAATGAGCATATACATGAAAATGTGGGATAAGCTTTTATGGAAGATAAGATTAGAGAGAGTGAGAGATTTGCCTTAAATTGTATTATCATGCCAACTACGTTTTCACACGTCAAGAAAATTGATAAATTCGCTAAAAATATATCCAACGCAAATTACGTTTTCACACAGGTACCCCCTTGAAGACTTGTAATCCGCCAGTTTCATTCGTCGATAATAGTCTGGCGGAGCAAGGCGGCGAATTATTTGCTGGTGATTCCGGTGCAAAATTTCTGCCAGAAATATCGGCAGATAAAACGTCAAAATTTGCTTGAAGAAAATGACGTGCAGCCTTCATTTTTTTTTTGCTAGAAAATCTGTCATAAATGTTTCCGACGAAAACATTTCACCAGTAAAGCTTTCTGACACGCGAATTACCGCCGTTACCTCCGTATGGATATCCACAGGAAATTCACCGGAAAATCAAAATTTCGGACATATTTCCCTTGTTACTGACCGATTTTGTCCGCCTGTAACAAGCCTTTTTTTCATGTAGTGTAACATGTATTGCATTTTTCTATCATTTTAGAAAAACTCCCTTGGGGGGTCATCTATTATATGTGTAATTCAACACAATCACGTTTTACTTTAAAGTTTTCAATGCAAATTTAATAATTATGCCAAATAAGCCTCAATGCTTAAGAGTCCAACATAAAGCTTCATTGTGAGCCTATTCAAAATAGAAAGTTAGTTCATATTTTTTTCATTATACAAGTTTGAATATAGTTATCATCCTTTCCAAAGCTTTCAATACCAGGTTGTAATAGAAATGAGAAAAAGATTTAAATCTTATATTCAATATTTGATCCTATTCAAATAAGGTTCAAACATCTGCTTTGAGCCAAGGTTTTGAACATTAGATGCAAAATTAGGTTTGTAGAAGGTTCAAAACAAAATATAAAATTATATAGAAAATTTAAACCTTATTTAAACCCCTATAATAGAGCTTGACAAAGTTTTGAATCTCATGTTACTGTTTGAAACCTATTCAAACAATTTTCAAATCCTATTTGAATAAGGTTCTAATGCGGTTTGAACCTTATTCGAACCAACCTCTATACTCTTTCAAATTCTTATATATATAAATATAATCATGAATTGTTGGGGGTTTATATACACAATAAATATATTTGAGGAGAAATTTTTTTTTTTTTTTAATGAAAAATATGTCTTGAGAACTAAAAAAAATCCAAATAAGTTTATTTTAAAGCTAATTATAGAACTAAAGAAACTTAAATAAGGAGTCATAAGTTTTTCTCCTAACTCCTTTTATAATTAGCTTTAAAATAAGCTTACTATAAGTTTTGAAAATTTCCTTTTAAATCTATTCTTGACATTTTTGCATTTAATTTCCCTTCCTTCTTAATATTTTCATTATGCGATTATTTTTGCCACCAATAACTTACATATATGTATATAAGAATATTAAAGATTGGAGAGACTAGTTTAAACAAGGTTCAAACTCCTTCAAATTTCATTCAAGTATAATTTAAACATTGTTGGAATATATAATTAATATTAGCTTTGAATTTTGTTTGAGGTTTTCTCGATCTTTGTTTTAGGATTAAAAAGAGTTTAAAATTTCTATTACAACTTCATACCTTGTTTGATTATTCTTCAAACTTTGTAATGCATTTAATATGTGAGCATTATGTTTGAAATAGATGTTCAAACCATGAGATAAGATTTTAATAAAAAATTTATATAAAAAAAATGCATTCAAAATTACAATTGTTCTTATTAAAAAAACATAGATATATAACTTTCTTTCTTATTAATACTTTGAGAAATTTATATTTTTCTCATAAGACTATGTTAATGATCTGAGTTCAAATAAATTACTTTTATAGTTAAGATTATTTTGTTTGAATTAATTAAGTTGGGTCTTAATTTTTGAACTCTAATGGTAGTAATTAAATTTAAATTAGTATAAAATAATATTCTAACGTATACTAAATTAATCTTACTAATTTTGAATGTATAATAAAATTTTATATTATTTATATTTTTCTTTAACCAAATGTGAACCTTTATATCAAACAAATTTAATATATTTGTTTACTTTCTAAGATTCATTAATTTTCTAATTAATTAATTAACTTATTGCAACATAATCTTATCTTATCTTTTTCTATTAAACACCACTGACTTATTATTTTTCTAAAAAAGAGGGGGGGGGGGGGGGGGGGGGCAAAAAAAAAGTGGGACAAATTGGGGGGGTGAATAGAAAGAAAAAAAGAGAATGACATGGAGAGAAAAATAAGAGAGAGTGGGGCTAGAGAGGAAAATAAGAGGGAAATTTCAACCACGTTTGCCAACATAATCAGCAAAAATAAAATAAAATCCCAAAGGAAGGTGGATGGAGGGTGGAGGGGCTAATTAGTTTTAGAAATTAAATTTACTACATAATTAATCTTATATATGCTAAGAGTTATATTAATATAACTTGAAATAGGATGATTTTTAATTGTTGGGTCACAAGACCCCACTATAGATCCGTCTATAGCGTCAAAGACTAATTTGATAAAAAAAAAATCATCATAAATTAAGAGATTTACATATATTACACTCAAAATTTACTCATTTATACATTTAACACATATTTTATTATTTATAAAATATAATATCCATTAATCAATAAAACTCTTTATGATGAAAGAAGGGAGACACGGGGCCATGAACCACCTTAAAGGGATGCGTAAGTCAATGGGATCTTATGGTGGCGGGTTAAAATTTTGAAGTCATGATGGAAAAGGGTTAAATTAGATGGAAGTTGGGACTAAGGCTTCGTTTGGGATGGCTTTTTTATTGCTTTATAAAATGGAGTTTTAGTACAAATTTTTTTATTTTTGTACTAAAACTCTGTTTTAGAAAGCAATAAATAAGCTGTCCCAAACGAAACCTAAATCTCATTGAGAAATGAGAAGGCTCACAATGAGTTGAGGCTTAGCAAGAGTATTCATGGAACATGTTATTTGTGCCAAGGCAAAGGGCCACAGATTAACAACAATGACATGATGATGAAGAGAACGAATATGATATTATTTTTTATATTATTTAAAATTATATAAATATCAAGTGGGTAAATAATATATTTTAAATATTAAACATATTAATGAGTTTTGAATACTATCTATGTAAGGAACTTTTATTTGGTCCGGTGAATGTACGCTCCTCTACGTTCGGCCACCAATATTTTAGCGACACATAGCATGAAGAAAAGTCGCCGACCCGACCCGATGTTTTTTGGGTTCTAGCGCGTGCGTTTTTTTAAATCCTTGACGAGCCAAACAACATCCATCACCTTTTCGATATATTTCAAATACCTAGCAAATACCGAGTTGTACCTAGTTTTTTCTAGCAATACCGAGCAAATCCCTAGCAATGCCGAGCAAATCCTGAGCAAATACTGAGTTGTACCTAGTTTTTTCTAGCAATACCGAGCAAATACCTAGCAATACCGAGCAAATCCTTAACAATACCGAGCAAATACTGAGTTGTACCTAGTTTTTTCTAGCAATACCGACCTAGCAATACCGAGCAAATCCTTAGCAATACCGAGCAAATCCTGAGCAAATACTGAGTTGTACCTAGTTTTTTCTAGCAATACCGAGCAAATACCTAGCAATACCGAGCAAATACCTAGCAATACCGAGCAAATCCCTAACAATACCGAGCAAATCCTGAGCAAATACCGAGTTGTAGAAAAACTCGGTACAACTCGGTTTTTGTATAGTTTTGGTCTTCATAGAGCGGTATTTCTTGTTTTTGCAAAGCAATACCGAGCAAATACCGAGCAATACCGAGAAAATCGCGAACATAGCATTCCCGGGTTCCGCTCTGGGTCAAGTCGTCGGGCCGCACGGTAAAGAGAGAGCACGTGGCGACATGTTATTGGCGGCCGAACGTATCTCTACGTCAGGTCAGAGGACGTAACAATTGTTCCTATGTAAGCCCGAATTTCAACTAGCACTCTGTAGAGTTAATTAGGCAATCCGGCCTAGCCGGCCTAACCGGTCGTGCCCGCGCTAGAATTGGGGAAAAACCGGCCCAGGAGACCGATGCCCCATGACCAGTCGCCCATCTTTCTGCCCCTTTTCCTCTGCGAAATAAGGGTCGGCAAGCTGTTCGATGAAGAAATGGGAAGAGTGATGGGGAGGAATGATAAGCGTGCTCGGTCTTCTTGGAGGTTGCTGAGAGAGAACGGGGGCCTCGGCCTGGCAGCGATCTCCTACGTGTCAGTGGACTACCTCCGATACTTGTCCCCCTCATGGCACGAACGTCTTCAGCCCGCCCTCTGGATCGCGCTCTCTCTCGCCGCCGTTACCCGTGTCCCGTTCTACCGAAATTGGACGGCTGAACTCCGAGCAGCAATTCCCTTCCTCGCTTCTCTCATCATCATGCTCTCCGCTCTTCTCTTTGAAGCCTTATCCGTTAGATTCTCCACCGCTGTGCTCGGCCTCGATTGGCACGTGTAATAAACGATACAGAGACCTAGATTTCTTAGAAATTTTTTTTACTGTTTCCTATCTGTTGATTGCTCAACTGTCTCTGAATCTCGAGGGTCGAAAGCACCAAGGGATGTCCTCAAGACGCGAGTTTTCTTGCTTGGAAATATGCTGTATAATATTGTTAGGTACCGACAGAAAAAAAAAAAAACCGAAATTGCGATACAAGAGTCAAGATTGCTGCATTAAGCAGCTTCACCTGCAATATTTTTGAGTTGCTGGAGATGGGTTCACTCTCTATGCTTGAACTTCACCTTTTCTGCACTGAAATCGTCTTTTCACAGCAACCAGCGACTTGAAGTATGAATACTGAAAACACAACATGCTTTGAAAAACTTTAGTTGACTTAAAAGCGACATGAGAAATACAAGCTTGGTGAGCTTTGATGTGACTGTAAAATAGGCTATGATGCACTTCTAGAGGGCTGTCATGTTGTGTCAAATACTCCATTGGGCGCTCTAGGACATTGTTTTGAACATGCTGTTGGTATGCCATTAAAATTTCTAAACGATTTTGATCTCTAATTGGATACCTCTTGCATATAGCTGAAATCATGTGTTTTTCTTGATTTTGAACTTTTCATGCACACATTTCTCAGGTGCAATAGGTTTAGCCCGTTCGAATTGATCTCTTGGCAGGAATTGTATTCGTAAGTGTCTATAGGCTAGGCAAGAGGGTACTATGTTTTGTTTTTGGCTTAAGCTAGAGGTACTCCACATGTTTGAAGTGTTTTATATTTAGAGAAGCACATAGCCGCATATTATTGTTTTGTCTTTCATCCTTTTGCCTCATGGAGGTTCAAACCTTATGGAAGCAAAATTGCTGCTCAAACCCCTGCTTAGGGAGACCAACTTGCATCGCTTGTGTCAACTTAAAAGTGCTCATGGTGGGACTCAGAGGAGCATGCACGTATAATGATCATGATAAAAATTCCAAAAAATTTTATGTTTTAGTTTATTCTACAAATTTTTTTTCCTCATGTAATGGTTTAGGCAAATTTAGGTTGTTTTTCTTAACCAATATTTTAATACAAATTGGCCTTATCTATATAATGCAAGAGGAACTTTTTGGCTAAAAAAGTTTTATTATAATTACCTTAACTCTTTCTTTCCTTCTCTTTTCTTCCTTGCTTCACGATAATTTGTATCATTGAAAACTTTTTGTTTTTTCTTGATCTCGATTGATTTGATTATCATTGAGACAACGATCCATCTTGTTTGATTCATTTTTGGAACAACATCATAAGACAATAAATTGCATTAAGTAATGCCATTTATAGGCTCATTATTTTTGGTTAACATAGAATTTGAATGTGGTTATACTCTTGCATGCATACATCTTAAGGTTTTCTTAGAAAATCTTCAAATGAACTAGAAGGACGAGGCTACGAGCTAGTGGACTCATCACATTTGGATGACGATAGGTTCTAGTTCCTATATATTCAATTTTCTGCCAAATATTACTATTATATAAAATTTAGTGTGAAGTATTTCTGTTACCATAACATTTTCTAACCTCAAATAATTTATATCTGTTACTGGTGTGGATGCTCAATCAATTTCACTTTTTGTATTAGTTCTTTCATGTTAGCTACAAGCCTATGATCAGTGTGAGTATATAGCCAGTGTGGCTTATAGTTGATCAACAAGGAAAATTCACTTATATTGCCACCTGGATAATTGAAGATGAATGCGAAGCATGGGCAAATCATATGACAATCCTTCAAACTTGGATAGACATCTAGTAATAGATAGATTTAATTTTATTTTGTTGTTTTGATGGATTTTTTTTTAATCTTTTTTTATTAATAATAAATAAGCTTACTTCAGAGTAGGAACCTTTTTGGCTGAAGGTATTGCTTGATGTTTCCTCCTCATCGTCTTCATCCTACTTATTTTCTTCCTTCTACTGTATGGTAATTTATTGTTGACTAACCATGCTACAAATATAAACCTAACAAGTTATTTATTACAACTTAGTTATAAAGTTGATTTGAAAGAAAATTATTTTAATTTTATAGATAGCATTAATTTATTATTATTTCCTTTCTGTGCTTTTTAATTCAAGTTCATGGTCATTTCTTCTCCCATTTTTTTTTTCTCTCATGGAATTGTCAAACTTCTTTGCTAAGTTTTTTTTTTTTCTTTTTTTAATGTGGACTTATTTTTTATAGAGAAAAATGCCACAGCATTTCAATATTGGCATGATTGTGAAAAAAGTTATGGTATTTTCTTTTGTATGTCATTCAATTGCTGTTGAAGTAAATAATCATTCATTCTTTTTCTCAGATCTGCATCTCCTCTTCCTGATACTGGCCAATGGTTGTTATTATCATTGAATGAGAAACTTCCTCAATTGGTGGTTGATATACTTCGGGCTCACATTGTTGGGCTACATCATTTTCTAATGTTATTCATTATGCTAGGATTCTCTGTATTATTTAACTCTATTAGGGCCCCTGGTTTGGGGCTTGCTGCAAGGTATATGTTCACAATGGCTATAGGTCGTCTTCTACGAGCCATAACCTTTGTGTCTACAATTCTTCCTTCAGTTCGACCTTGGTGTGCTTCATCAAGATTTTCTGTCCCAGCACATCCTCATCCTTGGGCTCAAAAATATTATGTTCCATATGCTTCTGATCCTAATACTATTCGTATGCTAATACAAAGTGATAATCATTTTGGTGAGTATTTTTCCTTTTAAACTTATATTTATGTACCTTAATGACTCAAAGTAATTTAGCTATATCTGTTGGTTTTCATTTATAGCAACTGTTAAGGATTATCCTGCTGAATATCGGCCAGACTGGGGAAAGATGAGTTTCTTAATAGATATATTAAGACCTAATGTCGCTGAGGGATCTACATGGTACCAATTGTTGAAAAAAGCTGGCGGTGGTTGTAATGACCTGATGTATAGTGGTCATATGCTTGTTGCAGTGCTGACTGCTATGGCATGGATGGTATTCCCTATCTCTAACAATAGTGTTATTATAGTTCTGGGTGCGTTTATTTGACCTCTTATATTGATTTTTGTGTTAATTTATTTTATGGAGAATACTACAACAACAACATCAAGCCTTTATCCCACTACATGAATCCTTTTTCTCTATTGTGTCCTTTTAAATGTCAAATTCTCATTTAAATCTAATAAAAAAAAAGTCATTCCTAATATTTTCTAACCAAGTCTTTTTAGGTTTGCCTCTACCTCTCTTAACATAGGTCAAATCTAATAACTCTACGCTCCTAATCGGGTCATTGGAAGGCCGTCATTTTATGTGACCAAACCATCTAAGGTGACTCTCTCTAATCTTACCTTCTACTGGAGCTACTCCAACCTTTTCACGTATATGCTCATTTCGTATCCTATCTCTAAGGGTACAGCCACTCATCCACCTGAGCATCCTCATCTCTACCACACTTAACTTAGTATTATGCTTCTCTTTTAATGGCCAACATTCATCACCATAAAGCATTGCAGGCCTCACTACCATCTTATAGAATTTTCCCTTAAGTTTGAGGGGTACTTTTCTATTACACAACAAGCCCGATGCATTCCTCCACCCTAAACCCTATTTTATGGAGAATGAAATAATATAATAGAAAGTGGATGCAAAACTTGTGAAATTCCGTGGTTGAATTTACAATTTCAACAAAACAGTCGGTAACAAGTAAACGAAGAAGAATAATACTCAAGAACACTTTTTTTGGATTATATATGAAAGAAAAGACGAAATACAGTTAGATTTTCAAATGGAGAGGAAGATCCAGCTCTCCCAAATCTCTAGACGCTGCTAGAGCCCAGAGCATCCTAAAAACACTATAATTTCAGCAAACAAAACCTTGCCCTAACCCTAGTAAAATCTCTTACTTAAAGCAAACAATAAACAACAAATACCCAAACAACTCTCCCCCAATTCCCTCCTAAATCTGCCATATTACCTTAACTATTTCCCCTCCAATCAGCTCTCAAATCTGCCATCTTCAATTAGGCAACATCTCTTAGTTAATCCCCTCCAAATCAGCCCTCAAATTTGCTCTCTTCAATTAGAAAATATTTCTAAATTAATCCCCTCTAAATCGACCCCCAAATCAGCCTCCAAATATGCTATCCTCCTAAACAACTCCCTCTTGATTATGAAACTTCTTAATTCCCTCCTAATGAAATCAGCTAGTCCATCAATGCTTTCCTCCCAAAGTACGACATTGTCCTCAAGGTGGAACGAACAAAACTGCTGCTGAAGCATTGACTAATTGCACTGGATTGAAAATTGATCTGACATTGGGTCGAATGATCCCTGCCTCGAGCATCTCCTTGATTAATTTCTCAATCTCTTCGTTTTGGATTTGATGTTGACGAAATTGACGAACACTGATAGGTGGGACTCCTTCCTTCAAGATGATAACATACTCTAGTTCTTGTGAAGGATTCAACCCTTAAACTTGCTGGAACACCCCTCGATGTTGTCTGGTTCATCTATCTTCTTCCCATTTTTTTCTCCTTCCAAATTCTGTAGCTCCACTAAAAGTTCCACTCCTTCACCCTTTCCTCTCCTGGGAAGTGGCTCCAAATGTGGCATCTCCTTTTCTTCCCCCAACATTTCCACCTCATGATCTTTCCCTTCCTTATCGGATTAGGGTTTCCTCCACTCCCTTGGTAGCTGGTGGCTCCTCTGCCTCCGATGATGCCGTTTTGGTTTGGAACTCAAACATCTTTCTCATCATCTCCTCCATTATGATGAACTTTTCATTGATCTTCTCATGGATGATTGAAAATAACTTTTTGAAATCTGAAATCTTTTCTACGCAATCTGATTTTAATTGTTCGATCTCCCATTTCAATACTTCTACTTTTCTTCCAGCCATGGGTGCCCGAATCGAATAGCTCTGATACTGATTTGATAGGAAGAAGATGCAGAACTTGTGAAATTCCTTGGCTAAATTTTCAATTTCAGCAAAACAGAAATCGGCAACAAGTAAACGAAGAAGAATAACACTCAAGAACACTTTTTATTGAATTGTATATGAAAGAAAAAGATAAGATACAATTGGATCTTCAATTGGAGAGGAAGATCCGGCTCTCTAAAATCTCTAAACGCCGCTAGAGCCCAAAGCACCCTAAAAACACTACAATTTCATAAAACAAGACCTCCCCCTAACCCTAGTAAAATATCTTGCTTAAAGCAAACAATAAACATTAAATACCCAAATAGCCCTTTCCCAATTCCCTCCAAAATTTGTCATATTTTCTTAATTATTTCCCCTCCAAATCAGCCCTTAAATCAACCCCAAAATCTATCCTCTTCAATTAGAAAACATCTCCTAATTAATCCTCTCTAAATCAGTCCTATTCAGTTAGAAAATATTTCCTAATTAATCTCCTCTATATCGGTCCCCAAATCATCCCCCAAATATGCTATCTTCAATTAGGAAACATCTTCTAATTAATTCATTTTGATTAAGAACCTTCCTAAATGGCTCCCTCTTGATTAGGAAACTTCTTAATTCCCTCTCAATCAAATTAGCTGGTCCATCATAATATTGCATGGTATTCAATGATTTTATTTACTTAAGAGGTTTATATATTAAATGACCATAGTTGAATGTTTGTTACAAAACAAATTTAAACGGTGAAGGTGTTCTTCTAAGCTTTTCTTTGATAACAAAAATTTTCAGGCTTTGTTGGCCTTTTTTGTTCATTATTCATCTTGGATTCTACATCAATGAAAGTGAAAGAATTTTCTATTGAAATTCTTGTAGATTTTGATTTTTCTATAGGTTGATGCTGATTAAGTTTCCTCCATTATATTGCTAAAGGGTCCCTTTTGTCTATGATGTTAATTTTGAAGGTTGCTATAAATAGAAAAGGGATTATTCATTGATATTCATAGAATTTATTTATTTGAAAATTGGATGTTGACTGTTGATGCTGATTAAGTTTCATCCATGATATTGCTAAAGGGTCCCTTTTGTCTACGATGTTAATTTTGAAGGTTGCTATAAATAGAAAAGGGATTATTCATTGATATTCATAGAATTTATTTATTTTAAAATTGGATGTTGACTTCATTCAATTGAAACTCATTATTCTATGATGCTTATAATTTATGTCATTTTGTGGTCGTCTCACTAGACATGTTTGATTAGTAGTATGTTACGTGTTACAAATAAACTTGATTTGCTAAATATAGGTGCTGTTTGATTGGAATACTTTACAAAGTGATGTAAAGTATTTCAAATGCAGCGGTTTTGAAAATTTTGGTGTTTGGTTGGAATACAAAGTGGAGCAAAGTAAAGTAAGTGTAATGCAAATCATTTTAGTTTATTTTTGAAGTAAATCAAACTTGCCCAATTTTGAGTGAGAACTGTTTAAACCACAAGCAAGCTTGTCTGATCGCTGCCCACCTCCGCGTCGGTCACCACCAGCCGATGCTGCCACCCACCGTCGCCACCCCCACCAGACACCAACACCGCCGACCACCACCGCCGGCCTCCACCACCTCCACTAGTGTCTGTTACCACCCGTCACTGACCACCACCACCACCACCGTCGCCGACCACCACCACTCGCCGTTGGGCCACTACCACCCTCCGTCGGCCGTCACAATCCGTTGTCGGCCGCCACCAATCACCACCACTGCCAGCCATCTCCGCTGGCCACCACCACGACTGAAGCCACCACCTGTTGCCGGTCACCACCCCACCACCACCTCCCTTGCTAGCCGCCATAATTTTTGGACTTTACACTACATTCATTATTTCAAATCAAATAAAAAAAAAAAACCATTCACTTGCATTTGGAATTTAGTCCCTTGATCAAATGAGTGGCTTGAAGAATTCTTGGAGAGATTTTCTTTTTATACAAGCATGAGACTTAATGATTTTGGTGAATTATTTCCTTTCTTCCTATTTTTTCTCCTTTACTTTTCTATGCTTTCATTATTGGTTTGATAGTGTGATTGTGTTTGTCAGATTTAACTTCAATCTAGGTGTTTGTCAAGTGCATGAATTTCAATTTTGTGTGTGGCTTTCTTGATTCTTATTCGTGCTTTACTATTGAGTTTTTACTCGAATTCATTTCCATTATATTTTTTTTCTTTGTCAAGATATTCAATATATTTTTTGGAAGAATAGTTTGACTTGTGAATTTTATATGCATTTTGTATGATTTCTGGCACTTATATTAGATAGCATTGGAAACCTAAAACAGTGAGCCATTCTATGTCACCTATACCCCTGCAGTGTATGGGTAGTTTGAGAGTCAAAATTGACATAAGAAGGACCGGCAAATGCGTCTAGCTGTGCACAAATATTTCTTTCTTAGGTCACCCACACGTGAGTGAGTTTTCTTGAACACATAATTAGTTTCATTAATTGATGTAATTGATGTACACACATTTAGTTAGTGGACTTGTGCATCAGGCCTAGTAGTTAAACAACTCAACCTTATTCCCATGTTTTTTTGGAAATTTCAAATTCCAGGAAGCTTACGGAGGTTGGACGTCTGCTTTGATATGGTTCCTAGTCCTCCATAGTGCACAGAGGGAGATTCGTGAACGCCACCATTATAGTGTGGATGTTGTTGTTGCTATCTATGTTGGTATTCTTTTATGGAAGATGACCGGCTTTATATGGTCGAACAAAGACACTTCTAAATCCAAACGACTCGCCAGGCTCGATGAACTTCAAGGTAGACTAACACAAGCAGTAAAGGACTCAGACATAGATGATATAAGAGAACTCTTGAAGGAAGTGGAGTTGGCCGGCCAAGAGCGAGGAGGTTTCCCCCAATGGATGATATATGTGTTTGCAGTAATTGCCACTTCTTTCAGCCTCGCCACTGTTTTATTCGCATTCACGTTGACTAGTGATGGCTGATCTCTCACAAGATTATTGCAGGATTCCTGGTGAGCTATTTTCTGTAATTTTAGCTAATGGTATTTTTCTCCCATTCTAGCATTTCGTATTTTGAAAGGTTTACTTGGGCTGATAAATCATCATTTGCTAGAGTATGGGGCATTGGCTTGTATGTTAGGGAGTTTTTAAGACAATTTTTTTTCCCTGTTTGATTCCCTCGAGAAAAACTAGTATTCAGTTGTGTTTATTCATCTTTTATAGTTTACCTTCCAAAAAACCAGGCTACTACGGTTTAGGGAAAGATCATAATTCGTGTTTCACTAATCAATTAAATTTGACAGTTTAATTATGCATCTTGGCTTGTGTACCATCAGGACTTTAATGTTATGTGCTTCAACTAATTTCATCTGCATCGAGAATGGTGTTTTGAGTACAACTAATATGTTGTTGAGAAATAATTGTAATACTCTTCTACGAGAAATTCACTTAGTCCTGGTTTCAATTTCATTGAAATTCCTTATGTTGGTCATCAATGGAGGAGTGAATATGGATAATTTTGGAGAGACCAAAATTACTGTCATCTCTCCACAATAATGAAATGTACTTATTTCCACAATAATGAAATGTACTTCCAACAAAAAGTATTAAAACTACTACGAATTTGTTTTGATTGCACATTTCTTTATTTTCCAGATTGTTCTGTCAATATACAATTTTGTTTGCATTTTTTTGACATGTGGAAGAAATTTTCCTCCAATTAATCATTATCGATGCATATTGTATAATATTATTAAGTATTATTCGGTAATTTATTTTCAATATTTTTTATATGCTAAAATAGCTTGCGACTTTCTAGATATACAACCAATCAATTAAAAATCTGTCCATTTTTGGCATGATTATGTTAATTGAGTTGTATGTTCTTTGCAATTCTGAAAATACTTGGCTTAGGAAAAAAAAATTGCATATGGATTGAATTTTTTTTGTTTCTAGAATGTCCATACAGAAATATTAATATTTAAGATCATACTTGGATTTTTATTTTATTTCTAATTTATTTTATGTTTTCACTCAAAATGAAAAATATGTTTGGATGCTCTACTTATTTTTTGTTCCCAGAAACAAAAAATAGAATACAATTTTGAAAATTAGTATAAAAATATAATCATTATTTTTATTTATGATAATTAAGTCCATTTAATTCATATTTTACTCATCAAAGCACTATATGATGCACCGACATTTCTTCTCAAAGAGGCATGCAGTGTCCGACACGTATCTGACATAGCACGCATCGGACACGCAAAAAATGTGTCCAATTTCAAAAAATATTAAATACAAATTTGATACACGTGTTTGAGACGCATGTCTTATATATTTTATAAAATTTTTTAAATATAATTTCTTGTATTTAAAATTTTTATTTATTTAAATATAAAAACTTTTTAAGAATAAATTCTAGTTAAATGACTTGGTATTTCTAAATTATTTTAAATATTAAACTTATTCAATTTTTATTCACTATTTTTAAAATATAAAAATTATGAAACCATGTCCAACTCATGTTTGTGTCCTCTATTTTCAATAATTGATGTGTCCCGTGTCCTTGTCATGTCATGTCTGTGTCGCAGTGTCCGTATCTATGCATCATAGAGCACTAATTATCACTTGTAAAACCTATTGAAGCCTTAATTTAAATTTCTATCATAATCTTTAAATAATTAGTAACTTGTTTAGTTAACTGTATATTTAATTAGTAAAATCATAATTTAATTAGTATTTAATTATATCAATTTTTTTAGGATATTTGAGCCATTAAGGCAAACTCCCACACACATACACCACATATCCGAGCATTGAACCCAATATCTCTTGATTAGTATCCAAAGCTCTCAACTAACAGATCAAGGTGAGCTATGTTTATCAACTTTAAATGATTGAAAGAAGGGTGGGTTACTTAAATTTTAATAACTTAATTAAATTATTAATTAAGTCATAATTAATTATAAAAATTAATTATAAAAATGATTACTTTTTAATTAATTTGAGTAATTAATTATTCCATACTTAATTATCATAATTGAATAACAATAATAAGTATCGATCTTAATCATTATTAAATCAGTTTCTAATTAGGTTAAGTAAATTCGTAATTACTGATTATTCTTATTAATTGTGAGTTAATTGTTTATCTTAGGCTTAATTAGCTTTATTAGAAATAAGAAAATATTAATTATTTTAAGAATAACCTTAAGTAGGCTGAATAACTTATTAATTACAAATTACTTCAAATAAGTAAACAGTTAATTATCTAATGCTTGCCTATCAGCATTTAGTATTAAATAATCTCTTTATTAAATCAAATTAATCATTAATCAATGATAATTAACTATCTTTTTACTAGTTAGTTCATTAATTTATTCTGATAAATCTATTGTAATTATGTTTAATTGAAAACCTTAATTAGCTTCTATTTAACTTTAAAATTTACTTAATGATTAATTACTTTAATTAATTATTTTATCCTTAATTATCATAATTAGACAACGTTGAATCTTACTGATCCTAAATATAATAAGAAATAATCCTTAATTAACCTAATAACTCCCCGGTTTGTTTTATTAGTCTAATCTACCTAAAATGAATTTACCAAAAATGCTAACTTAGGCTTCCTTCAAAACATATAAAAACACATAAGGATGTTTTTCACAATTTCAAAAAATAATCTTTTTTGTTTAAAAAATAAGAAATGGATCATATTGTCAAGCATATATTTTTTTTACTCTAATGTCTGTTTTTGAAAGTAGAAAACCAAAATATAGAAAATAAAAGTGAATCCAAACATGAGTTGAATTTTTTGATATGTTTGGTGGATTTTAATTGGTAGACAACTAAGTGCTGAATATTAGATAATTATTGAGCATCGTTGCCGAGTGATAATTCCCAACTCTCGAATTCTAGTGTAGGCTTATCTATCCAATTAGCCCTTTGGTGGCTCTGCCTTTCCCCACCTAAATTAAATCCAACTTTGGAGGTGTCCTACAGCTACAAGTACTCACAATGTCGATTATTCCTGTTTCTACTTCCTGCTCCTTTCAAAGAGATATCAGATGCCCAATCCCTCCATGTTAGTGAAGCCTGTTGAGTTACTAGGTTTCACAAGGCCCATTTCAAAAGCCTTTGTGCCCTAAAAATCAAACTACTTCAAGGCTACTGCAATCACAATCAACAAGGATAAATGTAATGGGCCAGATGGCATGAAGAATGAGTTTGAAGCCTCTGATGATGCCTACATTCTAAACATAATTGAGTATGCCGGAATTGAGCTGTTTTATTCCTACAGAGTCGTTGCCTGCTCCACTTGTGCTATTATCATGGACAAAGGCTCCATCGATCACTCTGATGACTCTTTTCTTGATGAAAGCCAAATTGAGAACAATCATGTTCTGAGCATCTCATATCCAAAAACATATTGTCTCATCCACATCCATAAGGGGAGCTTTACTGAATGTAGTTTAGGCGCAACATCTCTACGGTTTAGATTCTTTAGTAATTTCTAGTTTTCTGAGACTGTTTAGTACTTCGTTAATTTGGTCATTACTTGGCTTCCAATGTTTGGTGATTTGTAGTTTGGTGACTCAGACCAATACTTTGTGATTATTGCTTATGACGACGGAATATACAATTTCTAATGTTAAAAAAAAAAACATGACGGTTGTCTTAGTAGTTTGGGTTGTGTTTTTATGGTTATTATCATTAAAATATTTTATCCGTATAACTTTAGCCCTCGAGAAACTAAAAATATTACCTTAATTGTAGCATTTCTTAGTTACGTTTCTAAACATGCTGATTGTAGCCTTTAGCAATGGTTTTAAAAATTGTTATTTTTATTATAAAAAATAGCAATAGCCAAACTACTGCTATAATAAGACATACCTTGCAAAGTTCTAGATCAAATGAGCAACAATTTATCTTTATCATGACAATAATTAAAATCATTGCAAAAGCCTACATTATAGTAGCCCAACCCATCTTTTTACCTCTCTCGTTTTCTAAACCTCGGTCGAGCTTACTGTTGACCTTGTTCATTCCGGCTTGAATCGGCCTCTGTAAATCTCCTCTTCTCCCTACATTTTAATGTAGAATCTGATTTTTAGTTTGTATTTCATTCCTTAACTTTTTAAGAATAAGTTTTTATAATTATGCTCTTGATTTATGTTTTTTATATTAAAAATGAGATCACTTATATGCCTAGATCTTATTTATTTGCATTTTGATGCAAAATATAATATGAGGTTTTTTAAAGTGGGGCAAAAGGGACCCTAGAGATTATGATACCTGCATAGCAGGTGGGGCAAAAGGGACCCCTAAAGAGGCAAAAGGGACCTCTATGTAATTCAATGGCGATAATGCCAGGTTTACCTGGGCTCCATTGAATAATGTAAAGAAAGTTTAGCCAAATCTTTTATAGATTAAAATTGATATTCAGTTAAATTTCATAAGAAGTAAATATTAAAGTTAATTATGAATTTCTGATGATTTTAATGTTTAATTATTTTCAATGATTGTACTTTAAATGTTAATTAATTTGCAATGCTTACTGAGACTCATAGCTCACCAGTATTTTTCTTACTGGCTGTTGTTACAGGAAAGGGAAAAGAGAAGATCCTAGCAGATTAAATTGACAAGTATTCCATAAGTTATGTTATGTTAGTTTTTATCCTTATTTAATGTTTAAACTTGAGGTAGGTAATATAACCAATAGTGTATTACTTTGAATTTTTGTAATGGATATGTAAGTATCTTAAGTTAAAAATTTATAGTTACTAGTTGCTTCCGTTTTGATAAGATGAATGAGAACTTTTAAATGTTTTATAAAAATTATCAAAGGTATTAAAGGGATCTTATGATCAAATGATGAATTTTATGACAGTAATACTCCATGTACTGTTAAGGGGTATTGTGGGGTGTTACAAAAGTGGTATCAGAGCAAAGATTTAAGGTTCTGAGGATTTAATTACAGAAGCATAAGCAAATTAAGTTGTCTATAAATTTAAAATAAGATCTGATGGAATGACTACAGAGCCTAGGTAAGTGTAGTATTTTTAAGTTAGAGCTAAGTCTAACTTCATTGGAATTATATGTAACCTTATTTTGGCTTGTAAGTAAGCATATGAAAATAACCTCTAGCTAGGAATACATGATTATAAATGTACAACTTTTGATGTAATGCATTGTAGATATAATGGCTGATAGAATACCTAAAGAGATTGAGGGTCAGTCATCTCAGCTTGTTAGGATCTCTGATGATCCTAAAAATGTTGCACCAGTAGGAGGCAGTGCACC